TAATCAATGTGTGATGTCACAAAGCCTTGTTCTTGTGGTACAAAAAGATGACAGTAAAATATGCAGTACCTTAATTTATAGGTGATATAACAATGCCTTGTTCTTTTGAAAGATGACAGGGTTTTATGTATAGGCTGGGATTCTTCTACAGAAGGTGTCTGTGTCTTGTTGGCAATCAATTCGAACAATGAACAAGAAGCATACAATTCATTGGTTTTAAAATAATATATTCAAAACAAGTCAAACATGTACAAACAAATTCTTTACAATATAGGATATCCTAGTCGTATCTAAAACCATAAATAATTATCTTTTTCTTGTCAAAAGTCCACACAGCCTGATACAATTACTTTCAAATCCAACTGACAAGATTAATTATTTTTCTCTATTTTGTTTCTTACTATACAATTTGCGATAAATGCAATTACATTACCCCAAGGGTTACCACAGTTGTATCTCAAACTTTAAATAAATGTCTCCATTTTGCCAAAGTCCACACAAGTCGGTTCAATTACTTTATAACACAATTTAACAAGACAACTTATTCTCCTTATCTCTGTTAAACTATGAAACTCACTTTAAAATATTGCCATTATGGCTAACCACTCACATGCTGGCTAACTTCTAACTGATTGAACTTTACTTGTGCTCACTTGGTCTCCTATATTTATATGTTGTTCACTGAAGCCTTGAACTTTCTATAAGCTACGCGAGCAATGCTATAATGTAACAAAACTCACTTAAGGTAAGGAGAAAAATACCTAAAATTCGAGTAACATGGTGGCAACAATATTACTAAAGCCTAGTACAACAGTCTAACTCCATATACAATGTACGATTCATACAGAGTTACATAACAAAATTTGTCATAACTAACATTCTTAGAAAAATCAACCTTCAAACTCCTGTCATGAAAATTAAACAATCATTTAATATTAAGTCATAAAATAAATTAAATAATAATGCTTACACTAAACAGTCTTAGATATCCAGCAAGGGAAAAAGCAGATAGCAAATACTACATAGTTGTAATTCGTGTGTGACATCTTTAGCATTGTTTTTGTGGTTGAAAAAATTGATGGTAGAAATTTCTGTAATTGTTAATCATATATGATGGCATGAAGCATTTTTCTTGTAATTGACAGAACACAAAAAAAAAGTCCCATGTTTTTCACCATTCCAACTCAAAAAACCATAGTATATCTATTTAAAACACAGTCATTTTAAACAAAGAACCCAACATAAACAAACGAAAATCAAGGAATCCATCTTAATTGAACAAAACAACCCTACTCTAAACTAACACCCCGGGGTGCCTAGATACCTCTTCTAAGTTTTGCAACAGTTCTGGTCATGTGACTTATTTGTTCAATACTGTTTATATATATCTGTGTCAGTGTAAATTACTTGTACCTGATGATGACAAAACCTTGTCAAAATGTTGTAAATTTGCTGTTATCTTAAAGTTTTTCTTCATTACCCATTCAAGCTGTCTCCAACCATTATTATATATACAGTTGAATAATCAAAAAATCATAGATTACTATATTGTTATGACAGCGGACGTCACATGACGCTGGTAACACGTCATGAGATTCTAGAAGGATCATGAAGCCATTTTCTAGGTGCGCTCTATGTTAATATATTACCCTGGCAATTAAAGCGGAGAGAAGAGGTGACGGCATAGATAATTGCAGACAGGCAGAGATAGAGACGGATAATTGAGTCAAGCGCGGTAGTGACCGTAAGTAAAGTGCGTAAATCATTGTGAGTTATAGCATGTGTTGAAGTTAAAGTGACTGTGGAAATTAAGTGTATTGCAAAGTTGTATTGAGAAAGAATAAACTAGTTTTATTTAAGAAAGGACTTGTATCACTAAAGTTTCATGGGAAAGAAATTATACGGGAAATTAACAAACAACCAGATATGCAACAATATTGATACCATAGAATTTCACTATAATTTATCAAGCTTAGTAACCAAGTTGTATTTGGGTCTAAAAAAATATGAAATTTTGAGCAGACTAAAGACTCCCCTTATCAGCTTGAAGTCTTTTATCAAAAGAATAAGTTTGACGTCATACTACTTGAAAATGGCTAAGAAAGCCACTAGGGGGACATTCTGAGCTTTCAATTGGTTATTCATGTCATAGACAGAAGTAGGTGTATATAAGGAAGTGTTTCTAAAAATGGGAAACGGTGGGTAGGGCTACTGTGTTTGATTCAGTAAACGTGGTGATATCTCAGCAAAGAGAAAATATAGGATGTTCTTATTTTATATTATAGCTTTTCAATATCGTTCATTTGAGTTCCTAATTTTTACAAAACTAGACTTTGTATTTGGACATCAGAAACATCTAATTTGAACCAGTGCTGCATTCAACATACCATATGACAAAAAATTGATGTTTACTTGTGTTTTTTTAGTATTTACTTTTAAATTAATAAATTAAATAATGTATAAAATCAAAATTTGAATTATAATCTATGGTTTGATACCAAACTTAATAACATAAATTCATGAAATAATAGTTCAATAATATTTTGAATGTGAGTCAACAAATGCAATGACATGGCCTTTGACCCCTGACCCATCTGAAAGAGTTAAATAATCTGCCCCAATATTTTCTTGAAAGAAAAATGCTATAATATTTGCTAGATTTAGAATGAGTGGTTGTTTTCAAAATAATATATATGTATTCAGAACAAGTTAACGTATATACAATAAATTCTTCAACACTAATAATATTATGTGCATATCATAAATACTATGTATGTAGTTCTCTCCTTTTTGTCAAATATCCACTTAGGCCTATTCAATTACTTTAGAATTTCAGTTGACAAGTCAAACTATCTTCTCTATTTCTGTCGCACTAGTATTCTCTGTGATTCACTTACAATTGTGGTGCGAGTTACTGTAATTGTTTGGTTTTCTTCATTCTGAAGATCCTCTGTTCCTTTTGTCAAAGTGCATGCAGGCTGATTCAATTTAGACCATGCTTTGATGGAATAAAATTATTTTTCTTATCTTCTTTTTTACTGTTAGTTTCACTCTAACATATTAAACGTTAGACCTATGTCAATCATTAGATCTATCACTTCTACGGTACTTAGCTTCATGCCAACAGTATTCTCTTTCACTATTATCTGTCTGCTGTTTCCGCTCATCTCATGCTGTTTATATCTTTATCACTTAATCATATATCTGCTTTCTATATTCTCGACGTTGATGTATTGCACATGATGTTCGATGTTCTCAACATCAATGAATTATTAACAAAACTTCTACAATCATCTGCAATCTTTTATATCATAACAGAATGCAATAATAATAGGTTGGCAAACAACAATTTATAAACATAAGAAGTTTTATTGATAGTGGAACATACAATATAAGGTTTATATATCATACAAAGACACAAGCATTAAATGTGATAGAAATTGTGTAAGCAAGTGATAGGATATATGTTTTGGTCAAGTCTGGTCAAATGTATGGGTGGTGAATAAATCTTACCATATATGGCTAATGTTGCTGGGATCATTCTCACAGTTTAGTAAGAGATTATTTGCTTTGATGATTTCTATAGTTTCTGAGCAGTCTTTCTTTTTTAGTTTTGGGTTGGTGTAGGTGAAGAATATCATCCCAAAGTATTTTGTGATCTGTTTCATATTGATGATATGTTAAGGCAGATATCTGGAATTCACCTCTATGAATGTGTACTTGGTGTTCTTAACATAATGTGCTTCCTTACTCAAGTAAATTAAATGCAAGTTTACATATAAGTTGTGTGACATCATGCAGAAGTTCAGAACCTTTAGTTAATATTCACTTGCTCTCAGTTACATGTTACCGGTGTCTATATTTCAACTTCAGTAAATAAATGACATAAAAAATTTATTGTTTTTACATATCGTCTTCAAAAGTTACATCATAGTTCAAGGAAATGTATAGATTGTCTTCATTATGTATATAAAAGATGACAAGTGTGTATGGATTTTTTGGAACACTGTCATAAGAGATTAATAGTTTATATAGATTTTTCTTGAGATGTGTTTCATGTGTGAATAGTATGTAGACATTCTTACACCTTGTGCTTTACATGTGAATAGTATGTATACATTGTGCATCATATGTTGCTAGTTTGTGAAGATTTTTCACAAAATGTGCTCTATATGTGAATAGGAAGTAGACATTCAAGGTTGAATTTCACTTTTAAGCTCACTTGCTAAAAATTGTAGGCATTATAAAAACTACCTGCTAAAGTGTTAAGTTCACTTGAAATTTTCACACATGGCTCATAGGATATTCATGCTTTAACCCTTTTGCTGCATAGTTCAGATATATCTGAATAAGCATATATACCCACTAACTGGGAAATTTGAATTTACCCATGACTACCATAAAACTTTTTCCTCTACTGCAACATGGGGGAATATCCCCCTGTACTTGAAACAATTGCCAAACCTGTATGCATGCTGCCATCTGTGTTTTATGCCATGAAACCTGAATGTTTATATACCTCATTACAAGATTGCCAACTTTGCAGGAACATATCTAGAATCTATATAAAGGCAGCTTCTTTATATTTTGGATATTGTTATCTGAATAATTTGTTTTATATTTTGTAATGATTTTGGCCTCTTATTAACTTAGTTTTGCCTTTATTTATGCCATTTACTGGAGAATACTTCTTTCTCATTTTCATCAAATTTTTGTTTAAATCATTATTTTACACTATCCAATACATTTTTTATGGAATATTACTGTCAGATATAAAAAATACAGCATCTTTCAATACTGAAAAAGTAATACAAGAGGTCAATTTATACTTTTATTTGTTGGTGGATAATTGACATGTTTTGTCCAATTTTTTTTCTCAATGCATTAACAGTAAAGATTGAACAGATGTAATTCACAAAATAAAAAACAAATTGCTATTTATGTATGATTTTGCTTGTAATTTTATCTTTTTTGATGTATGATATATTTCTGATGGACAGATAAACAAGTTACAAGAAGAAGTGGAACAATTGCGAGATAAGCAGACAACTCAAGGGGAGCAAACAGGATTGCAGGTTATAACTCTACAAAAAGAAAACTCGCAATTGCGACTGAGAGTTAAAGCTCTTCTTACTGAAATGGAAGAAGTACAAGCTCAGAGGGAGAAGAGTTCTTTAGAAGCTGAGAACATTAACCGAGCACAGGCAAGGCAGCTGACAGAGCAGTATGCTAATATATGTACTTTGGAAGTAAGTGTTTATTGTTTTGGGGATTATGTAGAATGTTTTAGTTTTTGCAGGATATAACTAGCAAATTATATGCTAAGATGGCTTGGTTAACTTGTGGTTAAATATTCTTATACTGAGGCTCTATTTATAATTAGTCTAAGCTAGGATCTTAATAAATCAAATGGATGACTATGCTACACCCATATGAATCATGCTCCAATACACTCATTCTATGTGGTGCCCTTATATTTTGCATATTTTTTAACACATGGCTACAGCCATTTTGTAGTGTGTCCAATGTAACCTTGTTTACAACATGGACAAATATATTGATAAACCATATTTAATTTTTTAAGTAGTGATATTTTTTTCTGTATCTAAAATAATTCTGCAGCAACACCTTTGCATAAAATAAATCTTAATTGTATATGTGGGTACATTCTGTGAAGAAGGATGTACAGCTGGTTTTTACACAGAGCATTACCTATATTAGGCAAAGCTATAGATACTGAATATTCAAATAGTCCTGGATTGGTCTATCCACTGTGGTATTTTCCAGTTTGATACTATAGATACTGAATATTCAAATAGTCCTGGATTGGTCTATCCACTGTGGTATTTTCCAGTTTGATACTATAGATACTGAATATTCAAATAGTCCTGGATTGGTCTATCCACTGTGGTATTTTCCAGTGTGATAGTGATAGACAGTTTGATACTATAGATACTGAATATTCAAAGAGTCCTGGATTGGTCTATCCACTGTGGTATTTTCCAGTTTGATACTACAGATACTGAATATTCAAATAGTCCTGGATTGTTCTATCAACTGTGGTATTTTCCGGTTTGATAGTGATAGATAGTTTGATACCATAGATACCGAATATTCAAATAGTCCTGGATTAGTCTATCCACTGTGGTATTTTCCGGTTTGCAAATTTACCTCAGAGAAATCTGTTAGGGTCCATTAACTGGAGACTCAAGGATATTGAGTTTGTCATGCAAAAGAAGAGACTGGAAACAAATAGACAAATCCAAACAATCTTTATTTAACACACAAAAACAATAGGGCAAGTGTTTATAGTGGATATGTGGAACTGGTAAGAGATGTGTGAGAAACCTTTATTAAAAAGCACTATCAGTTCATTGTGATCCACCTTGTAAATTAAGAAAAATAAAATAAGTTAAAATCCAAATAAAACACAACCATGACAAATCAAGTGAAAATAAAGCTCGGATTTTGCTAAAAACTACATTTAAATCCAATGTTTAAATAATGAAAGTCAAGTTCTCTCTTAAGATCCCAGATATGTTAAACCAGTACACTTAAGGTGAACATTAACTCAAATACCAAAGTTAACTCAAGCTTAAGAAAGCCCTCAAACTCTCTAAGCTCTCTTTAAAGTAAGTGTGAATAAAATAAGAAGTCTGCTTTAATCTAACTATAAAAATGTTTCAAAAACTATTTATCTTAAACCTGGTTCACTAATTATGAATGTTAACACAAAAAGAAAAGTTAAACTAACTAATCTCTATGAAAGCTATCTATGTGGAGTCTGTTGTCTAAAAACAAAAAAGCCAAAATTTGAAGCTTCCAAGGCTACACACAAAACCAAGTTTATTCCAGGCTACACATTCTGTGAGTAATCCATGTTTTTAGCATACTATGTGCAAAGGGCTTGGCCACCCTTAGCTATTTTCTGATTCAATGACAAGGAAAATAGCTTTAACTATGTTAGAAGTGATCTTTCATGCAGCACAACACAAATTACAAACACACTCACTGTGTGCTCTACTGAAAATGAAAGTTGACTTACTTACTTGAGCACCTTATTGCATTGAAAAAGAAAACAATGAAAAATACAATTTTTAAGAATAATTTTACACATTAATTAAGCAAGTAGAAAACAGTACAGTCTCATACTGCTACCAAGAACAGGAAAACCAGTATTACAGAACTATTCCGTGATATTGTCACTTTTATAATTTTATGAAACTTTATATGTATGGTGAATTAATATTTGAAGTTTTCCTTCATTGTTATTGGAATGCAGCTTCCAAAGTTGAATTACAAACCAATAGGTATTTTTGTTAGTAAATGTCACTTAAATTAACCATCAGCCAAAATTATTTAAATATAACTCAAAAATTACATAAAACGTAGAACTGTTGGAAGCTGTATTATTAAAACTGTAGGTCGCTTCAAGCTCAACTGTTTCCTAAACACATCCTGAAGAGAATTTCACAATCAGGTATCAACTAAGCAATGTGGGCAAATTCCTTCTCAAAAGACTGTGTAGGACTGAAGAGGACACATGAAAATGTTGAAACTAACTTCCTGGTCCTTGTGCTAATATTTTATTTCAAAAATGTGGTTCATTTTTTTTATGTTCATTTAACTAATATATACAGTATTGTATATTTTATACCACAAAGAACCAAGGTATATAAAATTAGAAAATTTTTTTTAAGGGTTGGAAGCATTAAGATGAAGAAATGCTAAATGAGAAGTAAATCAATACTGTATATAATAACAGTCGTGGCTGTGGTGGCTGATTAAATGTACAGCCTACAAAGTGATCTAGGATATTTCTTTTAATGTTTTTTATTCTCTGTGTAACTGATATTTTTTAACGAGTTAGAACTTAGTCATTATATCTTACATTACCTTAACCATTTATTGACATTTCAGTCTTTTTCATTCATTTACTTAACCTTTTTTTATCATCATCACATCCATTATCTTACATTACCTTAACCATTTATTGACACTTCAGTCTTTTTTTATTATCATCACATCCATTATCTTACATTACCTTAACCATTTTATTGACACTTCAGTCTTTTTTATTATCATCACATCCATTATCTTACATTACCTTAACCATTTATTGACACTTCAGTATTTTTCATTCATTTACTTAACCTTTTTTATCATCATCACATCCATTATCTTACATTACCATAACCTTTTTCATTCTCACTTCAGTCTTTCTCATTCATTAAACTAACCTTTTATTGTAACTTCAGTATTTCTTTCTCACTGACATTTTTCATGGTACCCTAAATATTTGTGTTACATTAGCTTAACCTTTTCATTATCTCACGTTAAGTTAACCTTTAATTGTCACATCAGTGTTTTTCTTTCATTGTCACCCTAGTCTGTGTTACATTAACTGAATCTTTTCATTAATCTCAATCATGATCTTAGATTACCTTTATCTTTTCATTATTATCTCCATCTTTTACCTTTAATCAATGTCATTTAGTTTATTGTCATATTAACCTTTAATATGTTATTTTATTTAGACTTTTGCCTTTCACTTATGTTTTTCATTATTCCCTAAGTTTTTAATAATGTCATATTTTTATTATCACCTCTATCATTGGCTTACACTAACCATCTGTTTTCAGTTTGACCTAAGTCTTTAGTTTACTTAACTCTGCATTCAAACCTGGCTCTTTTGCACATTTAATGACCTTTTACAGAGTTGCATTCAAAATTTAATTAAACAACTTTATTATCAATGTGTGTAATAAAATTGATGTAAAAACACAGTTTATAATTCAAATTTGTATATTATCTAAGTTTTAACTTCTTGATTTCAAAAAGAAATATACACCTGGAAAAAAGTTAAGCACCCCCGTGTTTTTTTCAAGTGATTCAGATTCGACGTTCTT